GCAGGTCCAATGGACAGACAAGATGCAGTCACTTCTCTGCATCTACTTGCCATCTTCTGTCGGGGTAATAAAGATGAAACTGCTTCGTCGATCCAGAAGGGTCGACCCTACCCTAAAGACAACAGCTCTTCTTGGGGAATCAGTTTCATGCAGCGGGTCTTATTTTCGGCTGGGCTAGTCACCGGACGCAGACTGTATGCTGTATACTTTGGGTTCCAGGATGCTTTTGAAGTCTTTTCCTTTGCTAGCGAGATCAGAATGGCCACACACAAATCCTCCCAATACAGTCTGTGTGTGAACAAAGAGAAAGAAATGTTTGTCAGTGTTTGACCTCCCACAGATAATCAACACACACTCACAAGATGGCAGACAGACGCATGGCGCCGTAATGTCACAACCGGAATTAGCAGCTCAGCAAAAAACAAAGGAAATAGCAACGGAAAGCAGCTTAGCAACTCTTCTACGTTTCACATGTACCTTTAAACATCATTAATACCAACATCAATGTGTTTATGAATACTGGGGGTGAGCTACGGCATGAACAGAACGAGCTGTAAACAGAACTGATGGTGGCGACTGTCTGAGCATTAGCAAAGCAATTGGCTTCAGAAGCTTTACAAGAACAGCAGTTATTATCTACCTGTAATTAGTGGAAGATAATGAAGCAAAAACATTGATCAAAGAATAAGCTCTTGTTAAATTAGCCAACCGTCATTTACAAAACAAATACTTAGGGTGAGGCTACATGGCCCGTTAGCCATCACAAAGAAAACAAGCAAATTGTTCTGCATTAAGCAGCTGTCTCTTCCCAGACAAACTCCTCCTGTGAGTTTATCAGACGTGATAAACAGAGAAGACATGGCGGCCGCGCTCGGCCCAGCTGTGAGAGAAACGTTGATGCGTGTCCTCCACAGCAGAAAACATGCTGCTGCCATCTTACAGATCTGTGACGTCACTGGGAAACAACTATTAATGGCTTAATGCTGAGTATTCTGGGATTCTGAATACAGACTTTCTGGCTGGATGGATCCCATTTGTTGTCTTCTTTTCCCCGCAGATGTGACCAAGTAGGAAAGCTCCGGAGCAGAGCCGAGTTTTAATAGCGTTTATTTTTATTGATATCACAAATTATAGAGAGAGAACAAACACAACCACTGTACATTATAATATTAAATGCCATTATACTACATTTTGTCTCCAGTGTTCAACCGTATGGTGATGAGGTGGTTCTACAGGTGTGTCCAAGACCTGGACATATGCTGGTTTAAATCCACGGCAAAAGGAAAAGTTCCTTGATAATTTTTAGTTGCATCCCTGTTCCAACACTCCTGAACAAACTGGCTGCGTTCCCTCAGTTATCCAGCTCTGCAGAGGCCTGGAAACAAGTTCATGAGGGTCAGCCATGAAGAAGAAGTCCACACAATAAACTGCCATTTGAAAACATGGTTCCTTACCACCACCATGTTTGAGTACAGTTCATCAGAAACAATAACAAATTACTTTATAACAATTACTATAGAGAAATGCATCCCAAAACAAAAGGCATGTACAGTAACCTAATGTTCACCAATCTAACGAGAACTCATCCGTAGCTTGTCACTTTGCTTGTCACTAGGATTTTCTATTCTAGCTGCACGATGTGGAGTTAGTAGCTTTTGAACCTTTTTATTAGAGACACTTCAGAATCATGAACAAAATAAGCTGTGCTTCCTGACTGATGCTGCTCTTATTTTATTTAAATCCACTCTCAAACTGCAGAGAAAATGTTTAATCCAGTGGAGCCCAGAGTGGAGCCCACAGTGGGCCCCTGAGGCCTGGTTGCATCCTGCATGTTTTATTCTCTCCCTGGTTTTAGTAACAAACTTCTCAGCAAATCAATGTATCCAGATGCATTAAACCAGGGAGAGACTAAAACATGCAGGATGCCACTGGCCCTCAGGGGCCCACAGTGGGCTCCACAGTGGGCTCCACAGTGGGGTCCACAGTGGGCTCCACTGTGGGCTCCACTGTGGGCTCCACTAGTCTAATGTTTTGTTTTATAAACTTCTCTGGTGGGAGACTTGTACTGCATGACAGGGAATCTATACCAGCTTCCTGTTTCAAAGGTTTCCCTTAAAATACACTTTGCTGAACGATGGGCTCCAACACAATCATTTAAAATGTTGCAGTGTGGCGACATCAGTCAAACCACCAACTGCTCTGCACATTTCATATACTATGAAGATCGTCATATTCAGTAATAAAGCTTTTCCTACATCACCTTAAGCTGGTTTGCTTGCCTCTTCAACCTTTCTTTACTTCCCTGGGGGATCTGTTGGCTTTCAGGTGTTTTACATGATCAGCAGAGCCTTCAGACGTCAGAGCCAGGAGTCCAGGATGCAGACAGACCAGCAGTATTTCATCTGATGTACAAAGAATTTCAGACTAATAAAATAATGGTTGACGGCTGAATAATTTGATACACCTGAACCTCACCAAAAGAATGGTTGGCTTTTTCTTTCAACCTCGCGTTGCATTATAATAACTCAGAAAATCTTTAATGGTTTCTGAAAGTTAATTACATCCACTTTGCAACCAACGTAGATTTATTATGTAAGCCTCATCCAGCTGTCGCTGTGAAACAACAAGCCTCCTTCTTTCACAGTACGGCATGAACAGGTGAGCCAACACCGACACTAAACTCATTAGTTTAAAGGAAATAAGCTTCCGCATATACTTTTAAAACATTTCCTCACACAGCTTTGAGCGTCAGCCTTTTGTTGTTCACCGTCACCATTAGCATTAGCAATCACTAGCTACCCAAGGATGTGAACCTAGACATCGAAACTCAAACCACAAAGAAACGTTGGTCAGAAACTAACTTACATCTAGTTAATAATGGTAACTTACCTTGAGTGAAAGACTTTATGATCTGCAGAAGGACAAAAACCAGAACATGCGACGCTCTGAAGTGCACGGGGTCAACCAGGCCAGAGCCCAGGGGCAAATCATCAGGGTCATGATAAGTTTTGTAATTTATCCAAGTATCTGTCAATCAGCTTACACACACATTTGTTTTAGTTGATATTGTTTGTCAGTGCACACTGCGTCCATCTCAGGGCCCCTAGTGGCTCTGCTGGCACCTAAATGGTCCAAGAGTATTAAAGGAGATCATTAACCCAACAGACTGTTAGAAATCAGCCCTGTGATGAGGCCAAACATCATGTTTTTCACCATACAATGAAGGCTTTCTGTGTTTGTGATGAAGAGTCAGTGTAAAACATGATGTAAATGAGAAATGCAGAAATATGTGACATGTCAGGCATAACGTCGGTTCTTCATATCGGCCCGGTTTACTTAACATAACAACACTGCTGTCCTTACCTTTTCAGCAGATTTTTGTTTCCATGTTTATGCATATCTCTCAGGATGACATCAAGAGCTGCAGATGGTTGTTAATCCATTTTTCTACTGATCTTCGCCGACCTTTCCTCATGACGAGCTTCTCCAGTGACCTTCTTTTCCTTTGATATGGAGCCTGTGGAATCAAATAAAATTTTGTCATGGCTGAGTTTGTATTGTTGTAGTTTTGATTTTCTTATTTTAAAGGTCAAAACATGTAGATACTATATAAATGAGTTATCAATGAGTTAGGAGCTGTTAGGATTATAAGCAGAAAACGTTGCAGAAATCCATCGATAACTCAAAATTCATTAAAGTTCATGACCTGGTGTAGAGTTATATTCCACAAGTTCTGTTTGAAGTACACAACACTCTTGCAAATATTAAGAGAGACAGCATTTACTACTTGAGGGGCTCATAAATTACTTACAAAAGAAAGTCAGAACAATACAAATGGAACATTGAATCTGTGGAACAATCGATCAAAAGAAACCAAATAATATGTAATAATTTTTGAATGGTGAATAAAGGTGAGGAAAATAACTCGAAACGTCAATATTTGGTTTGCAAAGGAAGCTGCTAACCGGAAGCTAACGCTGTTTGGGAAAGGCCTGGAAAAGTAGGCCTGGAAAGCGCAATGACTCCATTCATTCAAAACTTTTGCTCATTTCAAAATAGGTCATATGTTAATTTCAAACTGAAAACAGTAAATAAAAGTTAAATAGCTAATATGGACGGACATATTAAGTAAACTTGTGCGAAGACTGAAAGCCACGTTGCTTTTAGCACACTGCGCTAACTAGCATTAGCTTAAGAGCTAGCATGCTACTAGCGTAAAAAGTCGCGTTGATCACGCTGCTAACATTAACTTTAGACTTTGTTCGAGTTTACAATCTAATTCTCTGCAACAGTATGTACATACGGTACGTTATGAATAATTTAATTACATGAAAATAGAATATAACGACATTGATACTTGGCTCCACCTACTTTGATCAGCGGCCGCGGTAAAACCCTATGTGTAGTTACACTGTTCAACCAGCAGATGGCGCTAAAACAGCCTCCTTACTGTATTTATTGTTCCATCCAATTTAACAATAAAAAATAATTTAAAAAGCGCCACAGAGCAATTATTAGAAAACAATATGAACAACAGAACAGCTTTAAATGCAGTGAAATAACTGCTGCAAGTTTGCACCTGCGGCCTGACGTTCCCTCAAGCAACACCAGATGGCTCTAAATCCGCACGTTTACCTTGTTAAATTTATATTGAAACGTTTGAAGTAAGTTTTTAAAAATAATCATATTAGTAAATTTTTTAAGTTACTTCTACTGTTGTTTTCTCTTATAACTACTTTAGCTTTACTTTTTATCTAAACAACTCTGGAAACCAACACTGGATTATTCAAAATACATTAAAAAAAACATTTTCAAAGTTTGCTGCGGTAGTTGTTGATTTTCATATTTTCATTTTATTTCTGTTGTGATTGAGCGTCAATTTTTTTTCTTAAAACGATCAATTCGGTTCGGATTGGTATTACCTGGTTTCTGTTGTTTAGAAATTACAGAAGTGGAAGTGGAGGTTTATTTTCCCACGGCCCGTGAACGCATTGTTGGCAATGACGTGTCAGGAAGCCCCGGAAGCTGTCAGTAGTGTCTCCAAAATGGCCTACCAGACCCTCCAGCAGGAATATTTACAGATTCCTGTTGTTACCAGGGCTTACACAACGGCCTGCGTCCTCACCACGGCTGCAGTGGTAAGATCAACCCGAACCGAACCGAGCCGGACCGAACCGAGCCGGTCAGTCAGGCAGGACTCTGCTGGTTTCTGTTGAGCTCCAGATGTTTCTGTTGCAGATCCGAGTGTGAGCTGCTCATTCAGGAAGTTAGCTTCACGTTTAATGTTGTTCCGAGCTGAGAACTCAGTCAGGGTTCGGTTCCGGTCCGTTTAACCGGGCTTGAGCGCAGTCAGAGATTATAATCTGGGTTTATTTAGTCTCAAGCGGTTGGGGGGACCGATTCCCTCCGTCACAGACTGACCCTGAACGCACCATCGGATGTTTAACAGATTTACTGTCAGCCTGACCCAGAAGGGTTTTATTGACAGTTAAATCTGTTTTATACTTTGAATTGTGAATTGTTTGTTGTGGATGTGGAGTGATGGCTATCGGTGACCCGGACCTGACCCCAGCTCGGACCTGACCCCAGCTCGGGCTGAGGGTTCTGGTCGGTTAGAGTCCAGTAGAACAGTTGATGTTTGGGATGGGAGATGAGGAGGAAACCTCCAAATGTTCCTGAGACCCGTAATCTGGGCAGAACTGGGAGGAAGGCCCTGCTTCCCGCTCAATAAAAGGCTCAAGTTCTGTCGCTTTCTCCAGTAGCAGTCAGTTTACCAGCAAATTTGAGGAGGCCTCTGACTGGGAAACATTCTCTGGGTTTAGGATCACAGTTCAGGGACTATTTAAGCTTTTGATATGCTAATGAGATGCTCTCAGGTGCTATAGTGACACCTTATTGCCATGGTGAAGCAGAGGCGATAATTATCCAAACAGCTGAAGCAGGAGCTGATGAAGTGAGCCAATCAGAGCTAAGGCAGCAGAGCTGCTGCGTCATGATTGGAGCGATTGAGCCAGGATGGACCCGCTCCGGTTCTGGTTTCCCAGCGTTAATCCAGCTCAGGCTGACCAAAATGTCTGGAATAATCCTGGGTTCTGAAGCTGCTCAGGTCCTTTCCGGTTTCCTCCTGCAGCAACTGGAGATCATCACACCGTTCCAGCTCTACTTCAACCCAGACCTGATTCTGAAGAACTACCAGGTACAGAGTCGTTCCTTTACTTTTCAGCAAACCGGGTCAGAACCAGCGCAGCTGAAGGATTTTCTCTTGTCTTCTCAGGTATGGAGACTCATCACCAACTTCCTGTTCTTCGGTCCAGTGGGCTTCAATTTCCTGTTCAACATGATATTTTTGTATCCTGCTGGTTTGCATGTTTCTGTTTCACAGCAGCAGATGTTGCTGCTGCTGATGCAGCCAAAAGGTTCTGAACCAAAAGGTTCTGAACCAAAAGGTTCTGAACCAAGAGGCTCAGCTAACGATTAGCTTAGCAATCAATTATTCTGACGATTAATTGCTTATCATGATGATTAATCAAGTAATCAGACAAACAACCTTTTTATATTTTGCAGATTTTTCATTGAACATCTTAAAATTATTTTATATAAAGTTAGAAATATATTAAAAGATGCAAATAAACAAATAATTCCTCATAGCGTGAATAAGCAAGTCACCATTTGATCATTTGATGTTCATCAGTTAGTTCCAGCTCCGGTTCGTGTTCCAGTCCGGTCCGTGTTCCAGCTCCGGTTCGTGTTCCGGTCCAGTCCGTGTTCCAGCTCCGGTTCGTGTTCCAGTCCGGTCCGTGTTCCAGCTCCGGTTCGTGTTCCGGTCCGGTCCGTGTTCCGGGTCCAGTCCGTGTTCCAGCTCCGGTTCGTGTTCCGGTCCGGTCCGTGTTCCAGCTCCGGTTCGTGTTCCGGTCCGGTCCGTGTTCCAGCTCCGGTTCGTGTTCCGGTCCGGTCCGTGTTCCAGCTCCGGTTCGTGTTCCGGTCCGGTCCGTGTTCCAGCTCCGGTTCGTGTTCCGGTCCGGTCCGTGTTCCAGCTCCGGTTCGTGTTCCGGTCCGGTTCGTGTTCCGGTCCAGTCCGTGTTCCAGCTCCGGTTCGTGTTCCGGTCCGGTCCGTGTTCCAGCTCCGGTTCGTGTTCCGGTCCAGTCCGTGTTCCAGCTCCGGTTCGTGTTCCAGTCCGGTCTGTGCCTGTTTTCCCTAACCTTTGACCCCAGGTACCGGTACTGCCGGATGCTGGAGGAAGGCTCCTTCAGGGGTCGGACGGCTGACTTCGTCTTCATGTTCCTGTTCGGCGGCCTGCTGAGACCGTATCCTTCTGTTTCCATGGAAAACGTGTTTCCTGTCGGAGACAACAAGTTTTACATACACCTGATGAGAGAATCAACCTGAAGATGAAGAATCTCCGAGTGTTTTGCAGAAACAATTCTGACCTGAAACCAGAGCGTCGGATTTCTGGCGTATGTAAACTTGTGGCTCCTTTAACGGCGCTGAGCAGATCTTCGGCGTCTTCGTGAGCCTGGTCTTCCTCGGCCAGGCCTTCACCATCATGCTGGTGTACATCTGGAGCCGCAGGAACCCCAACGTGCGCATGAACTTCTTCGGCCTGCTGAACTTCCAGGCGCCCTTCCTGCCCTGGGTGCTGATGGGATTCTCCCTGTTGCTAGGAAACTCCATCATCGTCGACCTGCTCGGTGCGTTACGCCGCCGCCATCGCTGCCGCCATCGCTGCCCTGCCGCCGCCATCGCTGCCCTGGCCGCCGCCATCGCTGCCGCCATCGCTGCCCTGGCCGCCGCCATCGCGCGCCATCGCTGCCCTGGCCGTAGAACTCATCCTCCATTTTGTTTGCAGGAATCGCTGTGGGTCACGTCTACTACTTCCTGGAAGACGTTTCCCCAACCAGCCTGGAGGCGGACGCTGGCTCAGGACGCCGTCCATCATGTGAGGCTGCACAACCCTTCACTGAATTTCATTCTAGGTTTTATACTTTCATTCTGCAGTTTTTTATTTAATTTTATGAGACTTTTGTGTGTTTCATTCAGTGCTGCACTATTAGAAGTTAATTGTTTTCATGTTCAAATAAGAGTCTGAAAAGTGTGGCCTGCATTTACATCATGGCCCTCTGAGGCTGAGCTTCCTGTCTCTGGCTCCGCCCACAGAAAGATGCTGTTCGACACGCCGGAGGAAGACGCCAACTACAACCCGCTGCCCGAGGACCGGCCCGGCGGCTTCGCCTGGGGGGAGGGCCAGCGCCTGGGCGGCTAGCCCGCGGTGCCTTCAGGGACCCTGATACGGGAAGGGGACGGACGCGCTCGGTGTGTTCCTGGTCTTTGTTAGTTCTCGGTGAAGAATGCCAAACAGCCTGGACTGCTGGGGAGGAAACGGTTTTGTTGTTTGTGTTTTGGCTTTGATCATCTTCAGAAACTCTTCGCCGGCGCCGAATCGTCACGCCGACGCCGTTTCCAGGAGCGCCGCAGTTCGGGACTGCAGACAAACGTTGGACAATGAGTCTGCGAGACTCCATATTTATCTTGGTCTCAGATTAAAATCCCGACGTGTGAAAAAGATTTCAATATAAAACAGAATTTCTTCCTTCTTTCCACTTTTTAAACAAATAAATGTGTGCAGCAGCAAACCGCTCAGTTTCATGAGAGCTTCAGCGACGGCAGGAGGAGGTCATGCAGGAGGTCACTGCTGTAAACGCTGCAGGAATCAAACCACCGACAGGAACGATCTGCACAAATCATCAGCACTACAGGCCGACCTTTGACCTCTGGCCTCCCATTCACCAGCAACTCTACTGGAAAAGATTCAACAGTTTAACGACAACCAGTCTAGTTTCCATGGTTACCTCAGCATGGAGACTGGCCTAGTCAAAGTGTTCAATGATGTCCATATAAATACGGACTGTGGAAGAACCACAGTTCTGGTTCTGGTTCTGTTGGACCTCATGTTGGTCATTTTACTGAACCAACTGGAGAGTTGGGTCGGACTCTCCGGTCCAGAACTCAGCTGGTTCCAGTCCTACATAGAGGACTGGGATTCCTTTCTTTCAACTGGAAACTTCTCATCAGAGGTCAGAGGTCACATACAGGGTTCACCGATGTTCAACCTTACAGGATCCCACCTGCTACAGCTGCAGGCCAGACTACACTGGTGATGCAGCTCTACGTTATGATGTCACCAGGTGACCTTTGACCCCATCCAGTCACCGAATAAATGCTGAGAACAAATCAATGTGTGGATGAGCCAAAACTGAAGTTAATCTCTTTGGACCTACAGAGGAACAATCCAGAGTTATAGATCCAGAGTCAACGCAACTAAAAACCAGCAATCAGCCTGAAACCTGGGAGTAGTGAAGGACTCTGACCTCTGACCTCCAGAGCCACGTCAGGCCAGTTCCACAGTGGGCCTTCTAGCAGAACATTTCCAGAACCAGAGACCTAAAGAGAAACTCGTCCAGCTTTGATTCCTGCAGCAGGTCTGATGACAAAACCAACGTCCAGAACCTGCAGCTGGAGTTCTGACCAGAACCAGGAGGATGGAGACACCACCTGGTTCTACACCGCCTGGTTCTACACCACCCGGTTCTACACCACCCGGTTCTACACCACCTGGTTATACACCACCTGAATCTATACCACCTGGTTCTACACCACCCCGGTTCTATACCGCTGGTTTTACACCACCTGGTTCTACACCACCCGGTTCTACACCCACCTGGTTCTACACCACCCGGTTCTATACCGCTGGTTTTACACCACCTGGTTCTACACCACCCGGGTTCTACACCACCCGTTCTATACCGCTGGTTCTACACCACCCGGTTCTCTACCACCCGGTTCTACACCACCCGTTCTATACCGTTGGTTCTACACCACCCGGTTCTATACCGCTGGTTCTACACCACCCGGTTCTATACCGCTGGTTCTACACCACCCGGTTTTATACCACCCGGTTCTACACCACCCGGTTCTATACCGTTGGTTCTACACCCGGTTCTATACCACCCGGTTCTACACCACCCGGTTCTATACCGTTGGTTCTACACCACCCGGTTCTATACCGCTGGTTCTACACCACCCGTTCTATACCGCTGGTTCTACACCACCCGGTTTTATACCACGGTTCTACCACCACCTGGTTCTATAACACCTGGTTCTACACCACCCGGTTCTATAACACCTGGTTCTACACCACTCGGTTCTACACCACTCGGTACTACACCACCCGGTTCTACACCACCTGGTTCTACACCACCTGGTTCTACATCACCTGGTTCTATACCATCCGGTTCTACACCACCCGGTTCTACACCACCTGGTTCTACATCACCTGGTTCTATACCACTGGTTCTACACCACCCGGTTTTATACCACTGGTTCTACACCACCCAGTTCTATACTGCTGGTTCTACACCACCTGGTTCTAAACCACCTGGTTCTATACCGCTGGTTCTATACCACCTGGTTCTACACCACCTGGTTCTAAACCACCTGGTTCTACACCACCTGGTTCTGCACCACCCGGTTCTATACCACCTGGTTCTACACCACTTGGTTCTACACGCCTGGTTCTACACCACCTGATTCTTTACCGCTGGTTCTACACCACTTGGTTGTACACCACTTGGTTCTACACCACTTGGTTCTACATCACCAGGTTCTACACCACCTGGTTCTACACCATCTGGTTTCTACACCACCTGGTTTTACACCACCTGGTTCTACACCACCGGTTCTACACCACCCGGTTCTACTGTGCCTCCTCTGGCTCCCTGTAGCTCAGAGAATAAACAATAAAGTTTATGAATCACTGAACAATTTAGCACCATGTTAAGGATCTGCTGCTGTTAGATCAACCTTCAGAACTCAGGTTCTGGTTCTGGTTCTCCTCTTCATCCAGAACCAGAATCAAACAAGGAGAAGCAGCATTCAGCATCTATGCACCACAAATCTGGAACAAACTCCAGAAACCTAAAAAGAGCTGAAACCCTGAGTTCCTATAAATCAGCTGTTAGTTTATTTTAAAAACCTGATCATCAAACATTCGTCAATAATCTGATGTGATTTTATCTCTGTGTTTCTGTGAATTTAAATTTCTGCTTTCATGATGTAAAGCTCTTTGAAATTCCTTGTTGCTGAAAGGCACTATACAGATAACATTTGATTGATTGATTGATAAATTGTCTGATTGATGAAAGATGTTGGCAGGAAGGAAGGATTATTGAAAGGATTCAAAGGAAGAAAGGACGCTGTTCATGTGCAAACAGAGAACAAAAAAGGGAGGATGCAACATTTATACAGTTATTATAGATATTCTCCTGATGAACAAACACAATGTTTCCCGATAATGCATCCGATTGGCTGACCAGATGGCTGATGGCTCCTTCTCTGGTAAGCATGGAGGGTTGGAAAGAAGCACAACCTGCAGAACATCTTGTAAACAACTTGTGAAAACGAAATCATTTTTCTTTAAATGAAGAATTGAGCATTCATTAAAGGAGGAGGGTAGGAAATACGTTCATCCTTCTCCATTGAGTGTTTCATGGTGTGAACATGTTTCAAACAAATGTAAAACTGAATGAATTCACCTCCATACCATTTTATGAAACAGCATAAAAAGTTGTTCATCAAGCTTCATGCATGTTTCTTATTTATATAATTAGATTTTTTAGATGATCAATTGCGATCCTTGTGTCTGTCATTTTTAGTTGTAACGAATGAATCTGCGATCTCCCACTTTTTCCGGAGGTTTTAAACGCGTCAGTAGCAGATCTAGCTTGTTAGCCCCGGTGTAGCGAGATGCAGCTAGCTCTGAGTAAAACATTTGGCCAGAAACCAGTGAAGTTCCAGCTGGAGGAAGATGGAGACTTTTACATGGTGGGGTCAGAGGTATGTCCCTGTGTGTGACTGGTGCTGGAGCCTTGGTTCCCAGTAAAACCAGTCTGGCTCTCCTCCTGCTGCTAGCCACCGTTAGCATGCTAACGCAGCTATAAACAAAGACCTGAGAGGTTCTGGATTCATCCTGGCACAAAACGGCTCGTTAAATAAAAACCACTTATAAACTTAATAATGTGGAACCGAACAGCTGGAGAATATTAATAATGACGTGTATTTCACAGCCTGCTGCTGATTAACGACGTTTTTACCGCAATTTGTTCATTTCTGAGGGTTGAGTTTGGAAACTGATTTTAACAATAAAGAGAATAAAAATACACAAAATGAATACATTCAAAGAAAGTAGAATATCGGTTTTTATGTCTGACCGTGAAGGAATCGCCAGATTTCTGAGTTTTCTCGCTGATTTAACTGTAGAAATGAGTTTTAAAGTTAAGAGTAGATGTGTTTATATCTGCAGGATCATTATTAACTAGAACATTAAGCAGATGTGACGAAAGAAACAGTTTCTGTGAAACTAATGAATGAAGTCAAACTTTGTGGTGGTTTGATGTGAAGGATTTATTTGTTGCAGACAGATTCCCAGTTTTCCTCTCTGGTTGATGTTCTGGTTCTGATCAGGTTCTCCTCCTCCAGGTGGGGAACTACCTGCGGATGTTCAGAGTTCCCTCTACAAGCGCTACCCGTCACTGTGGAGGCGGCTGGCCTCCGTGGAGGAGAGGAAGAAGATCATGGCTTCATCACACGGTGCGTCCTGCTGCAGCAGTTCAGCTGCTTCATGCTGCAGTTTGGTTTTACTTTCTTCTTCTTCTTCTCTGGCGATCAGAAAAACTTTAATCTGCTGCATGAAGAAGAATCAGTTCCTCTGCTGAAACACCAGCAGACGGTTTAGTGAAGGAACTGTCAGCTGGAGCTTTGATAACAGTTTCCTCCCTTCATCATCCTGAATGCTGCTGGTAAGAGCTGCGAGACGACCTTTGACCCCTGCCGTGTCTTACAGCCACCAGCGTGACACTGCTGAAGGCCTCAGAGTGTGAGGAGATCTTCGACGGGAACGATGAGAAGTACAAGGCTGTGTCATCAGCACCGAGCCTCCGGCGTACCTCAGGTAACCGGGTCGGGTCGGGTGGTCGGGTCGCGCCGCGCTCAGGGACCTCAGACTGGGACGATGGTCCTTTCAGTTTGTATCTGCTCCACTCAGGGTGTTTGATGATTGACCCGGTAAAAACTGAAACATAAATATCTGATAGGGAACAACAACATGGATAAAAACTAAACGCTGAAGACGGAGGGTTGAACTGTGGGATACAGGAAGCAAAGAGACAGAACGATTTTCCTCCAACATGATGAGTCTCCTTATTTCCTGGACAGGAAGCAGATTCCTCCACTTCCTGTCTCTGTTTCAGGGAGCAGAAGGCGAAGCGCAGCAGCCAGTGGGTTCCCACCTTACCCAACAGCTCCCATCACCTGGACGCCGTTCCTTCCTCCACTTCCATCAACAGAAACCGGATCGGCCGCGACAAGAAGAGGACCTTCCCCCTCTGGTGGGACCTGCCTCCTTAAGCAACTTCATTATTATTAGTAATATTATTATGCTCCTGCTCTAATTTTCTCTTTTTTTACGCTAAAACTCTTCCAACATTAATAACAAAAGCCAGAATCTTTAATGTGTAATATTAGAAGGTATGGAGAGCCTTTTTTGTCCAAATTTAATTTTTTATTTCATGTCCTTGTA